TCGTGTTCCACCTTCCCTTGGGTAAGGGACAGGGACTGTGCCAGGGGACAGGGAAAGGTGATCTTGGGGGGCAACATCTCAGCTGAGAGTCCTGTCCCACCTTTGGGTGAGGGACAGCACAGGGACTGTGTGGGGAACAGGGAAAGGTGATATGGGGGCAGCATCTCAGCAGGGACTCCTGTCCCTCCTTTGGGTCAGGGATGGCACAGGGACCATGTGTGGGACAGGGAAAGGCTGATCCTAGGGAATCCAGCTCCTTGGCAGGGTCTCTGATTCCACCTTCCCTTGGGGTGTACAAACGGTGTTAATACTGGATTTATGGTTGGTAGGCAAATCTGGTTTAGGCACCAAAGACACAGTTTTGGCAGGACTTAACTATTCCTGCTAACTCAGGTGGCCTCATAACTCTTCTTCCCATGGAAGCAGAGATTCCAGAGGAAAGGAATTATTATTAACACTGAGCTTGCACACTCTGGACTTGCTGATCTCCAAAGAGGAATTGGCTACATTTTGATGTCTTCTATTAGAACAACATGGTAAATGAGAAACACACAGATCCTCCATTCATTTTCCATCTTTTCTTCAGAAGACAACATCTTGTTTTGACAAAAATTCAGCTTCTGTGTGCATGGGCAGCATCAAATCCTGAACTAAGCCCTCCCCAGAGCTCCAGGCTCTGGTGGATGAGCAGCTTTTGAGCAGGGGAGGTGGGGCTGGAGGGAGCTTTGCCACTGTTCTCCTCCCTCGTTCTCGAGTGCAAATTGTCCCTTTAAAGAACTGCACTAATAAGACCAGCTCTTGTGGTTTTTTGTTTTATTTTTTGTTTTGGTCATTTTCGTTGAATTTCAGCACCAGTATCTCCAGACAGTGGCTACTCATCAGCTCACGCAGAAGCCACCTATGAAGAGGACTGGGAAGTCTTTGATCCGTAAGTGCCAGTGTTTCTACTGGAAATAATAAATTAATCATATGGGGTGTAAATTAATTATTTGGAATTAAGATGCTTCTATTTAAATTGGATCATTTTCATGTTACGATAATGAACTCCAAAAGCTCTGAGCTTAAAAAAATATGTGTATGCTCATGTGGGGTTTATTTCAGTTTAAAATACTTTTTTGTGCCTTAAATATTTCAAATATTAAGTTGGGCTACAGCATTACACTTCAGTAATGTACATTTTTACAGCAAAATCTGTATATTTTCAGATACTATTTCATCAAACATGTCCCCCCACTAACAGAAGAGCAGCTGAACAGGAAGCCAGCTCTCCCACTGAAAACCAGAAGCACACCAGAGTTCTCATTAGTTCTAGACTTGGTAAATATCTTTATAAACACAAACCAGAGCAGGGGGATGGAGCATTTCCCTTATTTTGTTCATTGTGGAAATCAGTTGTGCTTGCTTTAAACAGAAACTGTTGAATGTTGAATGTTTTCTACATTGTTTTTCACACTCTTTTCTTTCTTTCATGTAACTTTTTCTCTAGGATGAAACATTAGTGCACTGTAGTCTAAACGAATTAGAAGATGCTGCACTCACTTTTCCAGTTCTTTTTCAAGATGTCATTTACCAGGTAAACAGAGAAAACCCAACTTTTTGATTTTGTTTTGTGGGAATCCTGGCTGTGTGCAGTTGTTCTCAGCTTGTTTGAAGAGGGTGAAGCAGCAGCCTGGCATTTTGCACCTGCCTGGTGATAAACTGCAGGTGTCAGATCTGGCAGGGAATTTTCTGTTCACTGAAGCTGTTCCCTTTGCAGCTCCTCCCCGTGAGCCCAAATCCTCTGCTGGACTCAGAGGGAGGCAGAGCCCTCCTGGCTGGGACCTCCTGTGGCTCCACAGTTCCTTGCAGGGAATGGTTCCTCTGTGTGTGCAGTTCTGTGCGGGTGGTGGTTGAGTTTATTGAAGTATAGAAACAGCTGAGGCCTTTTTTAAATCAGTCTGACATCCCCAGGCTCAGGTAATTGTTAGTGGTTATTAAGAAGAGGATTTATTTCTTGTATCCAGGGCTTGAACTGGTGCTGCCCTGCTGGTGAGAGCCAAGTCAGGGTGTTTGGTCAAATTTAATTTTTAACGTAGAGATTGTCCAATTTCTGCATTTTAGTCACTTTTTCCCTAATTCCATCCATCAGAACGTTGAGGCTGATGTCAGTGTGTTACTGCTCCCTCTGAGCTGCTCAGGCTGGGAGCTGCTGGAGCATTGCTGGGGTGCTGTTACACAGGAGGCTGAGCCCTGCT